ATGCCATGTAAACTTTCACTGAATCCACAATAAAAAACCTTAAAAAAAAAAAAAAAAAAAGACAAATTATGGAGTCCTGGTGTGGCACTGTGGGTTAATGTGCCAGACTGCAAAGCTGTTTGAATTGCAAGGTTGGCGGTTCAAGCTTACCAGCTGCTCCTCAGAAACCCTATAAAGAGTCACTATGGGTTGGAATCGACTCGATGGCACATAACAACAAGAACAAAACGACAAAAACTACCAACGAACTTTAGGATTTGAATGTTTTCTAGAACACAAACCCAAATCTACCTTCTAAAATTGGCTTACATCTTCTACCAATATCACCTCTTTAAAAATCACTGCTATCAATTCATTTAGACATTTCAGACATATTTGTAGACAGACTGGACTCTGCGTTTGAGGGGGGAAAGGATACTGCTCACTAAAAACACAGTATAAGTGAGAGGCAGAGTCACACAGAAGGCTGACTGAGATGTACCCCAGATGCTGGTATTCAATACAACTGGGTTTAGAACTCACTGTTCACTGTCATCATCAACCTCGGTAGTAATTTAAGTAATCGGGAGTCCCAGTGAGATGTCTACATTGGCCACATACAATGCAAAACAGCTGCACTCACTGGTTAGAAGGCAGTCTCTGTGGAAACATCAATATGCAAAGAAGGGCAAGACCGAAAATCCTCCTGTTAACTCTTCACCCAGCTGTTAAGTGCATTTGTGAAATTAAAGTTAACCTAAGTGCAGTATAATACTTTAAATTGTAGTGTTTAAAAAAAATAAAAATCAATATGGTTAGGAAAGTGTACTAATTAGACAGCATCCGAGCAATTACAAAGTCAGTACTATGTCAACATGCATTTGTATTACCCTGAGTCTAGTATTCATCTAAGACAGAGACCACCCAACTTCCTATTAAAGATGTCCTTCCCAAATTACCGGTTAAAATCAATCAATAGCTTCTCCTTGAATATTCTGGTTACAGAAATTAATAAAAGTTAGAGGGGATCAATTTGGAAGTATAAAATAATAGCAGGTTCTCTGTTTCACATGAAACTTGATTCTGGGATAGTTGTAGACCTCACTCGAGCAAGGGGTGGGCCAGTCCCTCTCCAAGAAGCTGAAGTAGGATAACTGGAGTGAAGCACTTTATCATCTACCCTGAAGTGCATCTTGAACAATGTGGCATGCCAGTCGCTATGCAGGAAATAAACACAAAAAATCGACACTTTGAGTTTGTTCCTTTTAAACAAAGGCTTGAAAAATCACAGTGACCAAGAGAGTTACAAGGAGTCCTGGTGTAGCTCTGTGGGCTAATGCGTCAGACTATAAAGTCATTTAAACTGCAAGGTCGGTGGTTCAAGCTCACTAGTCGCTCCTTGGAAACTCCATACAGGGTTGCTATGGGTTGGAATTGACTCGACAGCACTTAACAAGAGAGTCACAAATAAAAGAGCATAAAACAGGCTTGCTTTCCACTAACCAAAATCCAAACCCCACACCCACTGCCATCTGTCATAGCGATCCTGCATACGGTTTTTGAGACTGTAAATCTTTATGGGAGCAGAAAGTCTCATTTTTCACCCAAAGAGCAGCTGGGGTTTTGACCTGTTGGCCTTGTGGTTAACAGTGCAATGCTTACTCTACAGCACCTCCTTTACATTAACCAAGGCTCTAAAATGAAGGTGCACATAAGGAAAAATGGCGGCCATTCCCAAAATGGTATTTCTGGCCACAAAGACTATATATGAGCACAGTCATTTCCAAGGTCAACAGCAAACAGCGTGCCCAGATGTCTTTAAGTTTCCTACAAACACTTTTAGGATATTTACATCAAGACATGAATTCCATATAAAATATAAATCAGAATGATTTTTCCAGTATTGCTTGTTCTACTAGTAATAGAATGCTGATTTCATACCATTCTGGCAGTTACATACTCGAAATTTACCAGGTGTTATGGACTGGGTTGTGTTCCCCCAAATTATGCTTTACACAGCTAACCCCTATACTGTGAATGTTATTCCCATTTGGGAACCAAGTTTTCTTAGGTCAATGAGGCTATATAGACATAGGTAAAGATACGAAGCGAGCAGATTAGGCAAGCAGAGGGAAGCACACCCACTGAGGGCTGCTGGGAATCCAGCAACAGAAGCAGAAAAGAGACAAACACCTTCCACTGAGCTGACAGACAGAGTAAGCTTCCCTTAGAATTTGGACTTCCAGTCTCCTAAAGTGGGAGAAAACAGCTTTCTGTTTTGAAAGCCATCATCTGTGGTATTCCTGCTACAGCAGCAGGCTATTAGGAGACCAAACTATTAAAAACATTTTTTTTCCCAAGGAGCATCTGGTAGATTTGAACCACTGACCTTGTGGTTAGCAGTCAAGGGCTTATCCTACAGCGCCACACCAGAACCTATTGTTTAGTGGTCTGGCAAACTTAAACTCACAAGCCTCATTCTGGGACAGACTGACGTGTAAATTCTGATGCAGGTGATCACAGGAAGTACGAGGATCAGTGTACGCTCTTTTGGGAGCAGCAATGAACAGTAAAGTGTACTCAAGAGCAGTGAAGATTTCTAGCATCAGCCAGCATTTGCTACATTTCTCCTATTTTCTACCGACAACCATTAGGACATCTCCACTTGGACGTCCACAAGCCAAGAAGCCCCAACCTACATTCATCATTTCCTCGAGGCCAAACAGGGAGTGTTCTAGGTCACAACTGCCCAGGTCAGAAATCTGGATGTCTTCCCTGGATCACAGGCCTTCTTTTGACCAAAATCCAATCATTTACCAAGTCATCTTGACACTCTCTTAGAAAATTCTTCTGAATTTGCTTTTCTTCACCCCTCCTACCACTCCACCCCCTGACCCTCCCAGTGCCGGTTCTAATGATCACGCATCAGATAATTTCTTTGAAGGTGTGGACAGATGTATACGATCATTATAAATACATAGCTAAACACTTACCTAAAAGCTTGATTCAGAACTGGGTAATTAAAATGTTCTGGTGCCAATCCTATGACTACAGCATTAGGATCACTTGTTTGGATTCCTGGGAATGGTGGGGGGAGGGAGAATATATGTTTAATCATACAATTGCTGGAAAAAATGCAATTAAAACTGTTAAAATAGTTCGCCTTAATGTACAAAGTTTTGCTGTGGTTGTAGTATGAAGTTGAAGAGATGATCCTGCCCAATGTACCAGAAGGACAGAAAGACAGGAATCTCCTGATATGTTGCACACTTCTTTTGCATGGTCTTACAGTTACTCAGCAACTACATCTAAATTGAAAACTGTAGCCTGATGTTCTCAAACAAGTTACAATGGCCACCTTCAGAAAGCTTCACTGATTATAATCAACAAAAGCAGTCTTGAGCTCCCTATGAAGTATCAGATCAATAGCAACTGACGAGGGCTGAACATCTAAGCAGCAAGGGAATTAGACTCTAATTGATACAGTGATGAGAAACGTTCATGATAAGTATGGAAGGCACTCTAGAGCTTCCATTTGTCTACAAAATGCCAAATCTACTTTTAGTTCCACAAATATTTTATAGTTAGAACCTGTTTGGAGGCCTTGGTATCTGAGGACTTTAGATGACAGCCAAACAAGTACACTAACCCTGCTAATTACAAAAAGCCTGAGGAAAGGGTCTGGGGGTCACCCAAACACTCATTCCAATTTGCCTGTTTTATCGTCTGCCCTAAGCCCTTTCCTTGGAGTCCTGGTGTGGTGCCGTGGGCGAATGCATCAGACTGCAAAGTCGTTTGAACTGCACGGTCGGTGGTTCAAGCTCACCAGCTGCTCCTTGGAAACCCTCTACAGGGTTGCTATGGGTCGGAATCGACTCAAGGGCACTGAACAACAACAAGCCCTTTCCTTATCAATTCCACCAAATGTGAGACCAAGAAACAGAACACACACTCACTTTCCTTCTTACTAACAGCCATGAATGAGTGCTGAGTAACTAAGGTTAGCTGAAGGAAGAAAATCAAGTTGCTATGTTAAGAGTTGAAGTTTGTGTTATCTTATCTCCATCTATCACTAGCAAAGATATTCCCACTCTCTCACTACCTTGGCTGTTGTTTTTGTTGCTGTTAAGCTGCAGTCAAGTTGAGTCTGACTCATGTTGCAAATAAAGTCTTAGACTAATAACTACAATTTCTTCCAGACCAGGATGCTTACATCTTCCAACTCCAATTCACTGTGGAAACAGCTGGAATTGTCTCATTTTCTTATACAGGGAATGTGAATAAGATTTCCTACAGCTTACTTTGTTCCCTTCTTATATCCCATGAAGATAACTTCTTATCGGTAGATAGAAGTCTTTCACATCATATTTCTTCAGCTACATTCCATTTTGTGACTATATCTTTTCCTATGGAATCAGTCTCTTCTAATGGACATTTGGGTTGTTTCCAATCTTGTTGTGACAAAAAAAGCTACAAGGAATAACCTGTTGGTGTGTCACTGTGTATTTTAGTTATTACATCTTAGAGATGGAATCGTCCAAGAACAGTTGCTTCTTACCTCAGTGTGTTAACTGCTGCCAAACTGTCCTCCATAGGAACGATACCATTTTTCAGTCCCATCAGCACTCCAATCTTTTTAGAAATTCATTTCCTATTTAATTCAGCCAAAGGTGGCTTCTCTTTTGTACAGAATGATTCTGATGGATACACTGACCTAGTTCCTGTTAGTAAAAATTTAAGGCCCTGCTAAATTTGTACAGCCATGCTGAATTTCTCAAATTATATATTATTTGTAAACCATCACAAAGTGTTTCCAGAACAAATCAAATGGCTCTATATCCATTTTTCTACATTGTGTCACTTCATGCTGAGTATCATCTGGAAAAAGCAACACTGGTAAAGTTTCATAAAGCTGCTAATTTCTCCAAAGTGAAAGGAGTTTTATTTTCTCTTAACTGAAAACTTCACACTGTGTAGAATGGCATCTATTTTTCAACAGGATGATTTTAGTTTGATGGCATCTGATCAGTTAATACGGTGGCTCCTGAATTAAGGATTACATCCACAATGTAATTTTGACCTGTGCTACTTCATGACTCATTAATAGACTGTGAAACTAATTTGGAAGGTTCTAAGCAACATCAAATCAAACAATTAGGCAAACCAAGTAAGAAACAGAATGTATATCCCATGCAGTAAGACTAAGTATTGTTTAATAACATATACTAAGATATACATACACATATTGGATCACTATGTAATGTAACATGTTTACTTTGTTTGGATTCCGGTTTAGAGAGAAAAAAAAAAGTTTGAGAAACACCAACCTAGATTTAAATGCTATCAGTATTATGAACCATTTAATAGTAACCAGAGGAAATCAGAATAAACATGTCTAAGCATCCCATTTGAATAATGATTCAGAGGCAGATATGAAGAACCAATTTTAGAATCTTGCCAAATTTCCCCCACCTTTGAAGTCAGGTAATGCCCGATCATCAACGAGCAGCATGGGCCTGACTTGTTTCTCCTCTACTAAATTTCTGGCTGCTGTCAGAGAAGTGAATATTTCATCTTCAGAGATATCAAACTCCAAGTTTTGCAACCTTTTCAAAAGATCTTGCTTGCTCTCTTTGGTTGTATTGGTCACAAACTTAATCATGACTGAGGCACCACGTAACCTGGAAAACATCAGACACTGAGTTTACTTTCTTATTCATAAAATGCCTAATGTGGTAGCGCTGGAAGGCTAAGCCAACAAGGGTTTTCATGGTTAAAAGACTATTTTAAAAATCTACCTGTTTCCTGTGAATGACTGCCCTTCAAAAAACTGTAATGTCAAATTGCAAAAGCTGTGTATTTCTGAGGAGCTTCTATATTAAACAAATCTTATTGCAAAATTTTAGTAAGGAATTGGAAAACACAGCTTACTAACCACTACCTGAGATTGTCTATGGGTGCAATTCTTCTTTTCTTCTATGGGACAGTTCTCTTACTTTGTCCTATAAGGACGCCTGCAGTTGGAATTGACACAGCAGCAATGGGTACTCTTCTTAAACACGAGGAAGTTGAGGCCTAGAGGAGCACTTGGCTGTTAACCAAGAGGTTGGCACTTTGAACTCAGCCAGCAGCTCTGCAGAAGGGAAGGCCTGGTGCTCTCTGTCTGCCTCTGGAAAGCATACAGCCTAAAACACCCTATGGAACAGTTCTATTCTGTCACACAGGGTCACCATGAGTTGAAATGAACTCAGTAGCACACAATCACAACAGCATACCCAGTTTCATAAAGCTGGGAGCAGCAAAACCAGGACAAAAAAATCATACCTTCTGTGGTCTGGTACACTGCTTGATCTCCTGTACTGGGGATACTTCAGGATACTATTCTTCTCTCTTCTTAGCCAAAGAAAGACTTTCTTGCCATTTGGAAGTTCTGTATCTACACTATCCCCACTTTTTGCTTTGTTGTTGACTTCTTTATAAATTGGTATCTCTGGCTCCCTATTTTCAGTTTTGTAGCTTTGTTTTACTTTAAATATGTCTGTACTTTCAATACTTAACTGGATTGCTTCAACATCATTATTATCCTAAAAAGGAACAAATGTAAGTATTTAAAGAACCACATCACTTTTAATGAGTTTTGTTTTTACTTTTTTTTACTCATCCTCCAAATTTCTTTTTCCTATTTGTTCCTATAGAAACCCACAGTGGTAATGCCAGTATAGGTCTTTCTGGACTGGATGATTTCTGGATTCCGGCTGCTCCAAAATGGAGCTACACAGCATGACTTACCTTTGAATCCCAAGTGGAAAGCTCACCTTTACAACAGTCTAAGTGCCTGGCCAGTAAAAGAGTGGACTGATCAACTGAGGTCCCTTCCCTTGGAAGGCCTAATTAATAGCAAGATCACATCAAGATATGAAGAGCAAGTCCAACTCTGCAACTGACTTTGTCTCAGCTGTAAACAACATGTGGACTACCATTTCTTCCCTTGTAAAATGAACATCACAACTCTGAATTAAATTCACAAGCTTCCAACAGATGCCTACCAGATATATATGTCTCTTTATATATATTCAGTGGATCTTAAAAATGTTAATGGAAAAACTCCACCATCTTTTAATTCCATCTTTTGATGAACTTTTGATATTCCTTTGTGTATGTGTATACACAAACATATATATACATATATGTTGTTGTTAAGTGCTGTCAAGTTGGTTCTAACCCATAGCGACCCTGTAAAGGTTTTCTGAGTAGTAACTGGTGAGTGTGAACCACTGACCTTGGGGATCAAACCAACTTTGTAGTCCAGCGCATTAACCCATAGCGCCGCACCAGGACGCCATATATATATTAAGGACCCTGCTGGCACAGTGGGTTAAGTGGTTAAGTGTTGAGTTGCTAACTAAAAGGTCACAGTTTAAACCCACCAGCCACTCAGTGGGAGAAAGAGGAAGCAGTTAAAGATTTACAGCTGCGAAAACCCTGCAGAGCAGTTCTCTTCTGTCCTAAGAGTCACTATGAGTTGGAATTGATTTGATAAAAGTGGGTTTGGGTTTATCTAACTTAATTCCCCAGATGGAAAGTAAATTCTCTGAGAGCACACAAAGACACGTCAGCACAGTCTCCCCCTAACACTCAGCACTGTGTGTTCTGGTAACAGCACACCACGGAGCCTGGGAGACTGGTCGTTTGAACCTATCCAGTATTTCCATGGAAGCGAGGCCTGGTGGGCTGCTTCTGTAAGGATAACAAGAGTCAGAACTGATTCGACTCCATGGTAATGGGTTTGGTTTTGTGAGCATTTAAGGTTGAAAACTGAGAAGTACCACAATGCTAAGTATTGCTGACTATAAATGCTTCTCTAAGTTATTTTAGGATGAAGAGTCTTATACTGATTGTGTTTTTTGTTGTGTTGATGGGTATTCTTTTAAGGACATCCAAAAACAAATGATCACTTTCAGTTTACTTTAACTAGCTTTTACTGTGTGCCCAGTTTTTAGCTAGACTTTGGTTTAGTATTGCTTGATATAAGAGAAATATAAGACAGTCCCTGCTATGGAACCTTTAAATTTAATTATTGGAAATAATTCTAAAGTTTCAAGTCCTTTAATTACACTTCATTTGAGCACCTGCATACCAGAGACAGCTCTTAGATGTCGGGGGAGGGCTGGCAATAAGGCTGTGTGTGTGTGTGTGTACGCATGCGTGTGTGTGTTTCAGTTCATGATTCCAGGCTTCAGTTGTGATTTTTTCCCCCCAATGTTATTTCTTGAGTTTTCATTCTCAGATTTATATTACCAACTTAGAGACAGACATACACACACACACACACAGAACAAAAAGACTAGATCAAAAGGCCAAACCTAATAAAGGCTGAGAGAATGTTTGGAGGATATTACAATGCATAAGTCTTCTAGCTAAACCCAAGGCAGTTCCTATATAGAGAGTAAGCTGGTGAAGTGCCATCTAAAGGCCATCCATTTAGCTAATGATCTGCCTTGGTAAAATGGCACTTGCAAGCGTATTTGTCAGCTGAACCTGGAGGATAACTTGCCTTGTAAGAGCTTCCTGCGCGCCTGGCACAGCTGCATCTTCAACGTGAAGTGTGCCATTGAGATCCACCAAAACAGCTTTTAATGCACGGCGGGTTGCCATCCTTCATTCCCTAGGAGAGAGCAAATGAAATTAAAAATACAGTTTAGGAAACAATGGACAATTAAAAGCGGATACATCTTCAAAAACAGCATTCATAGCAAGGAAGAAATTGCTTAGTATTTAAGACGCTTATCTTTTGGGAAAAAATACATTTTTTAAAATGAAAAATCCAAAATTTGATCCATAAAAACTTTGATATTGTTTTGTCTTTTTTAAAGCCTAGAATGAAAACTATAGGGATGAAAACGCTAAAAGAAAAGTTACTACAACAATTAATTCACTTAATTTGTTTTTAAACATGAGAATAATGTACTCTGAAGAAGGGGTAGGTAGAAGCACTAAATCTTCTTTACCCTTGTTTATTTATATTGAAAATGTTTTACCTGGAAAAGGCACTTATGGCCAAGAAGCCACCAGTAGGGGTCACTGAGAAGGAAATTTCAAGTGAGTCCTGGTGTGGCACCCTAGAATAAACACTTGACCTCACGCTCAATTTGAACTGCAAGGCCAGCAGTTCAAACTCACCAGCCGCTCCTTGGAAACCCTATACAGGCTGACTATGAATCAGAACAGTCTAGATGATACTTAACAACAACAACAAAGCTATGTGTGGAGTCCTGGTATGGAACTCAAGGATAGTCAAAATTCTGAAAGAACAAACTGCCAACCAAGAATCATGTACCCAGCACAGCTGCCCTCAACTACAATGGCGAAATTAAGTATATTTCCTGATAAACACAAATCAAAGGAATTTTTAATGACCAGATCAACCTCACAAAAAATGCTACAGGGTACTGAAAACCAAGAACAGCAGACAACACCCTGAGATTACCATACATGACAATACCACCCAGAACTCAATCCAGTGAAGTCTTCAAAGTACAGACGTATTTAAAGTAAAACAAAGCTACAAGATTGAAAATAGGGAGCCAGAGAAACAAATTTATAATGAAGTCAACAACAAAGCAAAAAGAGTGTAATAGTGTAGACAGAGAACTTCCAAATGGCAAGGAAGTCAAGTATGTGGTTTCAAGGTTAAACAGACTGTTTTAAACAGGAGAAAAAATTAATAAATTACAGAGTAACCACAAAGAAAATTAATAGTCCTGTACATCAAAACTAAAAAGAGGAAAATTCAAATATTTAGTAAACATTAATGCAACAGAAATGAAAATGAAAAGAAAACCCATAAACAAAATGAACTCCGCTCAGAAAACTATATGGAACAAAGAAGCCAGCAGCACCACAAAAAAACACACAGCAAACTGACAGCAATCAATTCCGACCTATTGATAATCACATGGAATGTAAAGGGATTAAATGCACTAGTCAAGAGACAGAGCAGAATTCAAACAGGATCCTTCAATATGCTCTCTACAAGACACACATCAAAAAAATGGAGATAGCCTACATACCCAAAAACAGTACATACACACCATGTAATACTATGCAACATTAAAGAATAAAGATGAAGCTACAAAACACCTCAGCACATGGAGGAACCTAGGAGGACATTAGGCTGAGTGAAATTAATAAATCACAAAAGGACAAATACTGTATGATACCAATGTTACAAAAAGTTAAGAAAAGGTTTTCTTGATAAAAGAAACAATCTATGATGGTTATAGGGGTGGCGAGAGGGCAAATTATTCATGGGCTAGAGGGCTGACACATGTTAACATGGGTGACAGAGCAGGCTATACACAACAAGGAGGAGGTTAGCAGAGAAAAGATGAAGGTAATGGGAGACACAGGGAGGAATGCAACTGAACAGATGTACACCATTAACCATGGTCCATGGAGGGGATCGCAATCATTGTAATGGAGTAAAGTATGTGACTTGTTGAATGTAAAACTGATGATCTGCTTTGTAAACCTTCACTCAGTTCACATAAAAGGTTAAAAAAAAGAACAAAATATTAACAAGACTGGAAAACCCACCAGTATTAAGAATTGTACTGCTTTTAAAAACTTTCCAACTAGATCCAGGGAACTTTCATCATAAATATGGATCATTCAAATCCTTATGGAAGCACGCAGAGGCTTACTATTACCAAAATATTTGAAAAGCTTATAATCTTTGTTATCATCAGTTCCACAGAACCAAGAACATAAACCAATGTTCTATGTTGTTGTTGCTGTTGTTAAGTGCCGTCAAGTCAATTCTGTGCCATTTCCGAGGAGCAGCTGGTGAGCTTGAACTGCCCCGACCTTGCAGTTCAAACGGCTTTGCAGTCTGGTGCATTAACCCACAGCACCACACCAGGACTCCATTTCCAAAGGTGAATGATGATTCAGAGACTTAGAAAAACTAACTTGGGGTTCCCTACTCATATCCCAAAATACATATCTCTGGGCTTTGAACAGTTCTGCCGTGAACCTGTATTTAGCAAAATATAATTGGCAAATATTAAAAATCACCAAAAAAAAAATAAGTAAAAGAAGTATAAAAACTTCAAAGGTAGTTTTTTTTTTTGTCATCTTAGGTTCATGCCCCACATCTCACATTTGTTCAAACCAGTTACTAGAGATATAAACACTGATGCTGACTTATATCAATGCAAAGAATAGTGACCTTTCTTTCATCCCAAGAACGCTTCAAGCTATTTCACAGAGTCCTTGAGTGAAAGGGAGCACCATCACCTATGTCCCAAGCAGGCTTTCTTCCCCTCCCATCCAGGCAATTGCCAATTCATGTTAGTTCTACCTTCTAGCCTGACTCAGTTCCACCTGCTGCTCCCCACCCTTACTACAACCATCTTTGTTTGAAAATCATCATCTCTCATCTAGCCTACTTAACAGCTTCCCAGATGTTCTCTTGGCTTCCAACCTCCTCCCTACTTCCAGTCCTAAATCATTCCTTTCAATGCAATAGTAGTAGTTATGTACCTCCTGACCCCCACGTCCCAAAAAGGAGTTAGGCATGCCTGTTTGAATTCTGACTCACTAGCTGTGTGAATTTGGTCAATTTTAACACTCAATATCTTTCTTGCTAAAATTGTTCCAGTTCCTTCACTGCCTATAATGGTTGTTAGGCGTATTAAAGGAATATAAAGTGAACAATGAGACCACAGAAGGCTGGGTTCTGTGTGTCGGGCAGGTAGGGATACGGGTGGAGGATTTGCATCCTCAGTACGTGTATCAGAGGCTGTGGAAACCACACTAGAAGCAACTACAAGTGTTCATTAGAAGAAACATTTTATATTAAAATCAAGACACACTACAGCATATAATCTAGAACTTGCATAGACATTAAAATAATAGAAGAGACTTCAATAAAAATTCTCTCCTGGGTGGTCAAGGCTCTTCAGAATATACCTCCTAGACCCCTGATAGGTACAAATTCTTTCTTTCCAGGAACCACTGCTATGCACTCAATAAGTCACTCCTCAGATAAAAATCTTCCCGTGGTTCATCGCTCTCAGCATAAAGTCTGAACTAGTGGACAGTCCTGGTTTACCTCTCCCACTCCTTTGTCTCTGCTCAGCACTGTAACCCACCAAGAGTCCTCCACCTCCAAATGACGGGCTTGGGTCTGACACCAGTTTGTGCCTTGAACTCCCCCCCCCACATCCCAGCCACTCTCCTTTTCCTAGGCCAGGTCTTAGTCCTTCAGCCTCAGTTATACATCACTTCCCAGACAACTCTTCTCCTAAGGCTGTGCTAGGACCCTCAGAGAGCTCCCATTAAACTGCTTTGTATTGTTAAGGCCCCCATTACTGTCCACAGCTGCTCAACTTGGCGAGGAGAATGGAGCTGACTTGGCCACAGTACAGGCATACCTCAGACACACTGCGGGCTTGGGTCGACCGCCGCAATAATGCAAGTACGCGAAAGTGCGTATGTTTACTGTACGCTGTGGTCTCCTACGTGTGCAATAACGAAAACGTTTTTGTGATACTGTGAGAATGATCAAAACGTAACAGAGACAAGAAGTGAACAAAAGCTATTGGAAAACAGGTGCCAAGAAACTTGCTAGAGGTTAAGGTTACCGAAAAACTTCAATTTGTAAAAAAAAAAAAAAATTTATATAAAAGAGGCACTATCTGCACAGCACAATGAAACGAGGTAGGCCTGTACTAGCAAGCCGCATACTAAAGGTTTCGAAATTAACCAGAATCATGTGTCTGTCTCTGTGACTGCAAGGAATCCACGAGCAAGTATCCTTCAGCACAAACCCAACACGATCCCCTCCATCTCCTTACACTGAGAGCAGGCCAGACTCAACCAGGAGACGTCAGGGCAGGTGGGGAGGGCTAGCTCTTGGTCCTGGTGGGGACAGACCAGGGAAGAGCAGAGGCGCTCGGGACTGTCACTACACGATGCCCCAGCCCAGTTCCTGACCCGGCAAACGATAGCTTCGAAATCCTGTCCAAGGGCACGTTTGAGGCAACACGAACGCAGTAAAGGCTCTATCTGTCCCGGGAAGACCTCCGCGCATGCGTGGTAACGTCGCGGCGGAGGGGCGGGACAGGCCTCCCGGAGCAAGCGCGCGGGTTGGTCCCAGACCCAGGAAGGGTGGGCAGTGGCCTAGAGAAACAACCGGGGTGTACCCCGCCCTCCCACACAGAAAGCAACCTACAAGCAGCAAGCAGCCGCTAGTCTGCAATTCCGCTTCTTCCTCCTCCGTCCAAGAAAGGCTTCTCACACCCACTCCACACGTCTTCCTCATGAAGGTACCCTGCTGACCGGAAAAATCACCCACAACAGCATTCCGCCGAGAACGCTCCAGCACCGGCTTGATCGACGCCGGAAACTGGGCCCAGGGCGCACCGGAAGTCCCGCCTTATCCTAATATATCCTTTGCCTTCCCGCCCACCATCCACCAAGAGGTTTCCTGGATTCCTGACCCCTTTAACCTGCGTTACTGGAGCTCTGGTAGCGTAGTGGTTACAAATCGGGCTGCGAACCTTAAGGTCAGTAGTTCGAAACTACCAGTTGTCCTCGGGAGAAAGATGAGGCTTTCTGCTCCCGTAAAGATTTGCAGTATCGGAAACCCTGTACAGAGTT